GCATTTGGGGGCACTTAATGAGGCCCAGGGCACGTGCTTCCTGAGGACCTATCAGCTTTTCACTATTCCTGCAGGTTAGTTCATTTCACACACCGGCCGGTTCAGGACTGTGAATTCCATGGGTGCATTGAACCTGTTGCATTCTGGGAGTTCATACCTGGCCTGCAACCGCCCTTCAGTTCATGGCCGAATCTCTCAAAATGGCACTTTGGAAGCAGAGAGCAGACTCCGAAATAGGGAGACTCATTTTTTTCTTTTATGGCTGTTGACATTTTCTGAAGTGACATCATTTGTGAAGGATGCGCTCTGTTGTAATGGGCTGTTTGGAAGGACTGTAATAAATGGCTACATACGGGCTTGTACGTTGACAAATACAGGCAGGAGAAATGGCCAAGCACGCGCCACTACAAACCCAATACAAAGTGGCAGGATCCTCACACAAAGAACGATACGTTAGTTTGCCGAGTGTGGCATATAGGTCAATTAATACACACAGGAGAACCCTAACGAGACACGTTCCTTTCAGGACATTGTTCATTCTCCGCATGCTCAGGAAATGGCAGCCAGGCTGCAACATAGTGAAATATACTTGAGTGTATTTATCTATAACTTTATATTGTGACTCGTAGATTTACCCGGCGTTGCTCGGATCCGTAACCCAGTCAAAGTTTTGTTTCTTTTGGAAAATAAAAGGAAACTGTACACACTTTCTTTAAATGCTTGTATTTTTTCACAAATACAGTGTTATTTTTGTGATGTTAATTTTTATTTCAGATTTCTTAAAAATGGGATTGTTAACATTTTTCCATTGAATTTTTGTAGTACATTTTTTTTAAATGGAAATTCCATCAAGTGTCTCCCCCCTCTTCATACCTGTAAACTCTTAAATACTATGCTTTAACTAAAAAGGACAATCGTCAATTTGGTTTCCAGTAACATTTTCTTCTGATTTTCAAGCCTTAAGAATTGAGTTAGCTGGACCAAACGGAGCACTACTGCAAATGTCTCCGTTTTCGGTTTTTCCGATAAGATGTATGGAGAAGCAAGCCTATTGCAGGTTTGTTCTATTTATCTGGCTCATCTTGGTTCAGTCTCTTTCAACATTCTCAGAGTTGTGTTAGTTTGGAGGACTGGACTTGATTTGGTGATTCTGCCTCATTCCAGGCACATCCCGTTTTCCTGGCATAACCAAACCCTTGTGTTGCTTTAAGTTATAAGAGGAAGCTGAATACTGAATTCGGTGGCCTTACCTCTTACCAGTTAGGAGGAGTTTTTGATCAAACAGACAAACTTTGCCCAGGGTCCCCGGAACACCTGGTGCCCTGCTTGCAGTGGTGCAATGAGGGGTGGGACGGTGCACAGAGAGGTGTGCAGCCCTCCCCATGCTAATGAGGGGTTTAGCTACGTGCTCCTCTCCTGCCTCTCAGCAGCAGTAACCTGGCTGACAAGCAGCAGCACTTCTGTTAACATCATCATCATCATCATCCTACGCTTATTTGCAACGCGGCACAAGCCGTTTGCTCAATCTCTCCAACAGACACCACGCACGGAGCACGAAAACCCAAAGGGAGCCACGCGAGCATTGAGCATGTGCAACAGTAGAAATCTCAAGGTGACACTGGCAAGGAGGCTGGCTCCGGACAGATCGCGTAACAACATATGCAAATACCGTTTTCGTGGTAATTTAGCTGTTCTCTTGTCCTTCTGCTGGGCTGGGGCAGCAGTGATCGTTAGCTGATCACACCATGCCAATGTGCTGTTCATTTTGTAACCTGCAGAATAGTAACGCTTAGCACTTCTAGCACATCACAGCTTGACAAATGCCGGAGGCTGCTACAGACGGGGCACAATTAGAATTAAAACACTGAGCCCATTTATATTTCTGTAAATCGGGTTAGTCTGTAGAGCTCTGTGCACCTAGCAGTGCACTAATATCTCTGGTGATTGACACCAAAGAAAATAACTAATGTGCAACCTCCCCAGGGAGCGACTGAACTAACCTATTTTCCTTGCTTCTGAGTAGGTTTGTCATATCAGCGCTTGGCCTGTCAAGTCACCAATGTCTCATTTCCATCCTGAGTGTATTTCAAAGCAGGGAGCACGCTTTAAACAGCATTGGGGGGAGGGATGCATTTTTAATAAACAAAAGAGAATCAGATTGGAGTTTGTTTTTCATCAGCCTCTATCCACTCTCTCCAAAGCACGGACTTTATTTAATTTCACTGCATTTAAAGATGCCAAGGCTCCATGAAAAGATGGAGACGGCAGAAGCAATAAATCATTTCAAAAGCCGCATCAAGTGCAGAACACAGACACGATTGAAACATCACGAAAAGGGAACAAGAAAGAACGCTGGGCATGTTGGAACCAGGCAGAGGACTTTTAATCATCAGCACGACCGGGCCACAGATCACACAGTGCTGGACAAAAGCCAAGAGGCGAGCCCCCTTGCAACCAGCTTGGAGGCCGACGGCTCATTCCGATATTTTTAACTTACAACTCATCACTAAGTGGGGAAAGAATCGTCCCAGATGTGTTGCTGAGATAACAGGAAATGAGGTTTAAATCCTCCCCATATCCTGTTCTACTCCATGGCCAGAGCGGATCCAATCCTGCTCCCTTTGAAGTCCATGGGCCTACGGTTTGATCCCACTCCCATTTTTAGAATGCTGTTAACTCCTTCCTTCCCCGCGGAGGGAATCAGGTTGGAAGAACCAACGTCTGAACTAACGTTTTTCTCATGTGTGTGTGCACAG